TGTACAGAGGAATGATCAGAAGCACCATAACAGCACGAAAGAGGTCTTACCCCATGGCTTTAAGCTTACTATGTATATTACTATATATTAGTTACGTTATCAGTATAATAATAATACCATAATATTTTTCAGTTGGCCATGATTGGTGAAGGCTGACCCTGATTGGTGAGAAGGAAGCCCCTGATTGGTCAGAAGGCTGACCCTGATTTTATAGAAAGTTGGCCATGATTGGTGAAGGCTGACCCTGATTGGTGAGAAGGAAGACCCTGATTGGTCAGAAGGCTGATCCTGATTTTCTAGAGAGTTGGCCATGATTGTTCAGAAGGCTGACCCTGATTTTCTAGAGAGTTGGCCATGATTGTTCAGAAGGCTGACCCTGATTTTCTAGAGAGTTGGCCATGATCGTTCAGAAGGCTGACGCTGATTTTATAGAATGTTGGCCATGATTGGTCAGAATGTTGGCACTGATTGGTGAGAAGGAAGCCCATGATTGGTCAGAAGGCTGACACTAATTGGTCAGAAAGCTAGTGCTGATTGGCCAAATGTTGACCTTTATTGGTCAGAAGGCTGGCACTGATTGGTCAGAATGTTGATGCTTATCCGTCAAAAGACTGGCCCTGATTTTTTAAAAGTTTGGCCTTGATCAGTCAGAAGGGTGGCCTTGATTGGTTAAAAGTTTGTTGATGCTTATTGGTCAAAAGGATGATGCTGGTTGGTCAGAATTTATTCCTTTTATTGTTTGCAAGACTGGCCCTAAATGGTCCATCGGCTGTTTATGATCCACAATCTTGAGCTTAACATGTCCTGGAGCAATTTAGGCGTGTACGTTGTCATGGTGATGTATGCTGGTAAAAAGTGATCCACGGCCAAGAGACAGAAAACTCAGGACATAAATAAGTTTCGTGCTTCATTCATAAAACAGTCCATAATGAAACTCTTTATAACCTTAACATAAATGGGTGGGGCTAATCTGCTGTAGGCTGATATATGTAAATGCGGTGTTTTTGTGACATCACAAAAATCATTATTATTATAATATTATTGTTGATTAATTATGTACATATGATTTAGAAATACTATTAATATAATAATCTCATTTATGTTATTTAGTCAGTCTGACATTTTCCCAGAGTGTCAGACCTGCTGAAGTCTTAATATTCAGCATCATTTTAAGCTCTGTTAACTGAGGAACTCCCCTAAATTAGCTCATTAGCCAATTAGAACAGTTTGTGTCTGTCGTTCAGTGCAAGCTGTGCTCTTTAAAATGCCAGATGTCTCGCTTTTTTATTCTCTTTCCTTTTTCGTCTTAAATAAGTACTTCAGAGTTCTTCAGCCTGCGTCTGTGTCTATCATTGATCACCTCAATCATTTAGACACCTGTTGAATCAGAACACACTTAGAGTAGAAGTCAATGGGCAGCTGCTTCAGCAGCAGATAGAGATTAGGTTGAAAATGACTGGAGTGTCCTTTTAACTGACCCACTGTGGATGTTTGCTTTCTAGACTGCACCACTAGATGGCACTCTAATTAGTCTCAGCGTGTGCCATTCATCTCTTACATGCCTTTACTTATTGCTCGGCTTTGTAAGCAGCATGTTGACTTGAATCAAATTTCTGAATGAATGGGAGCAACACATCTCACCAGCGGTGATGTAAAAGGCCTGCACTGGCTCAGGGTGGGCCGAAACCATTCTTTGCAGATCCGTGCAGTGTGAAGAGTTCAAAACAGCTGGCAGTCTGCCCAGATGAAAAGCCTTAAAATGGCCATGCGAAAATATCCGGCAGCGCAGTGTCCTGCATTCATCCGCACTGTCCTCATGGAAGAAGTGAACGCAGCAGAGGGGATGTTTCCTGCCACTGCAGATGCACGGAGGAAGGGGGTGAGGGGGTGGGGGGGGTTGCTTACATAAAGGGAAGGTGAAAGGAAGTGTGCTGCCAGTGGAACGACGTGTCTGCTGCTACAAATTAACCTTCCTCTTTCTGGCAGCTTGTAAGAAACACAATGAAATGACATTAATGCAGACATAATTTCCACAACAGTGAAATGATATCGAATGCTTGTTTACAGCATCTGAAAATGGTAGCAGCCCTTCACATTGTGTTAAGACTTTATGACAAACGGACCAATAGAAGCAGTCAAAATTAGATTATAATAGGATCTCATTACATTGATGTTAGTGCTGTAATGATAACAATGCAGAATTTTCAGTGCTGAGATCGAAATTCAGGTCCATTTTTCAACAGCAAAATAAGCCTCAAAAATCAAAACTCCTAGAATTTGTAAGCGACTTTAGACTAAAGCCCTATCAATTAAGCATGGGTGTGGCCAAAACATAGCCCCACCCCATTGCCACCCATAGGCCTCTGAAGCTGTGTTGACACCATCATGCCCATATTAGGAAATCTAATTTCACATGCTGTGCTAACTAAAAATTTCTGTCCTGTGTACATTTTCCATCCGAGTGATACTGGATCCTCTGAAGGTCATTTAGCAGTCGGAATGTATAATGTTACATACATGCAAATATTGCATGCTATTATTAGCATTACAGAGTATGGAGAAAAAAGGCCACACTAAAATATGGTCAGCGTGCACCGCTGCGAGTCACCCAGTAAAATAATCAGTAAAAAGTCAGAGGTATTGGGTTGGATTTGATGGAGTTTTTCGGCCCAAGTTATACATCTTGACGTATTAACGTCACATGTACAGGTTCAGAAGGAAGGTCTGACTCGATGTTTAGGTCTCAAATGCAAAATCAACAGTATACTGATGAAGATATGATGACAATCGTAAATAATTCACTCACATCCTCAGAAGACGCGTCCTTCACCAAGTTTTGACTGAGTTCTCTCCAAATACTCTTTCACCAGACCCTCAAAATTCAGATTCATCTGCTTGTGGGGGTCCGAAGCCAACCAGCGTTACGTTATGTTCTTCCGCACATTGCGTGCAATTACGCATTTCCACCAGAGAGGTCTCCAAATCCCCAAAACTTACATATTGTTGCTTTGAGTGACAGCGCATTAAAGTAAGTCTATTGTTAAACTATGACACTATTATATACCAACACCAGCTACACCAGCTACCTGCTGCGGCCAAAGTGACTCAACTAACACATCTGACATTCAAAACTGCTTATTAACATATTACAGTTAAGAACCTTTTTCCTTCTCCTATAATGTGGCCACCTCAGGGATACAAGGGTTTGTTATGACAGCGACATCTATGTTGCCTTTCAGTTGATTCATTCTTGGCAATAACAGTGTTGATGTATGTTTCATTCATTTAGAAATGATATAAACATTTCAATCAAGTAAATGCAGCGCATCACTTTTTCACTACACGCCCACACAAAACGCAAGCATGTTGGGTTATTTGTGGGTCAAGCCATACTCTGGGTTTAGTCATATGCAGTGGTCATGAAGTGGTCCTGAAGATTTCTGCTTTGGAGCGCTGTCACTTTAAATAAAATGTTTTTCCATCATCGCTTATGGATTTTGATGAGCTCTCGCTCTCTCTTGGATCATATTTGCCCTTGCCTTTGCCAAGGGCTTAGAAAAAAACATGTTTTTCTAAAGTGTCCCACTTAAAAGATCATCGCTGAAAGAACCACTGACATACAGTAATAACACGTTAGGAAAACCAGCAGCCATTTATAAAGCAGATGAGGTATTTATAAATGTAGATGGGGAAAGAACTGATGATCGTAACAAAGACTCAACACAGACACACAGACTGTCACTGTATTAGGTTTCCTTTTTTATGTTTTTCAAAATTTCTGCACAATTAAATGATCCATTTTAGAGAAACGTAGAGTCAGAATTGCTCGGAGTGATAGGAACCAGACGTCTGTAAGGTTTAAAGTGGAAGTTTACTTATGTTTCCATATTTCCGCATAATTCAATCATTAAAGTGTAAACAATCATTCAGAGTGGTTTGGTGTGAAATGTTTCATTGTAGAGACTTGTAGAGATTTCTTTACAGTGGTGGTGATAGGAACCAGGGGTCACTATGTCAACAACACAAATGTACCCATTTTATTTACCATCCAGAACCACCAGAGAAGAGTGTCTTCTGAGGGTATATATGGACTGTTGATGATGATAAAATAGTGATAAATCTAAAAAAGGACGTTTTCTTTGGGGACTATTTTGCCTCACATCGCCCTGCATGTATCCCTGCACCATAAATGGATTTTTAAAAAAATACATTTTAGGTTTAAACATTAAAACATGTCATTTTCTCAAAATTTTTATAAATCAATCAGGTCATTTATTCGTAACCATTTTATGTAATAGCTTTCTGGGAGCTTATACAAGCATTAAACCCTTCAGACGTCCGGTTCCTATCATCACTACTGTAAACAATTCTGACTCTCCTAGCTTCTCTACAACAGAGCATTTCACACCAGACCACTCTTTGTTTAGATCGTCACAGTTTAATTATGCAGACATTTTGAAGTTTTGGTGGAATTCCCCTTTAAATGCCTCTGAAAGCTACCTCAGAGAAAGCCATTACACATTGTTTTATAAGAATAGTATTAATATTTTATAAGGTTTTATCAAGCAAAATGTCAGATGTACCACTATTTTACCATCATCAGGATTATATAACTCGTGTAGCCCGTAAGGAGGCACGTGTAGGTTCACTGCTGGCTTTGGGACAGTAAATACAATGGCTATTAATATTTATGTTGTAGATATTGTGACCCCTGGTTCCTGTCACCACCACTGTACAGAAATCAGAGTCGGTACGTTTCTCTACAAAACACTGCCCCACACCAACCACTCTGAATGATTTTTGTTTACATGTCAGTGCCCGAATTAGGCTGAAATTCGGTGGATTTCCCCTTTAACACTCTGCTCGATGACGTGCGCCACGACGGGGCGTGCGTGTCCCTCGTAGCCCCGCCCCCTCGTCCTCGAACCCCTCCCGCTGATTGACACCCTTGAGCAAAACGAGGCGTGACGCGCGCGCCCGTGCGCTCTGTGTACCGCTGCTGCTGCCGCTGCTTCAATTGCTGCCTTCGGCGCGAGCTGTGTTGTAGCGGCGCCATGCACACGGCGCGAGGAGCGTCCGGTGGAACCGGTGGGGCAGAAGAGTGAGCGCGAGCGGCTTCGACCTACCATCACCATCATCATCATCAGCATCATCATCCTCATCATCCTCATCCGGGAAACTGAGTGAGAATCACACGGAGCGCGCCGAGCCCGTATAGATGCGCGTGCGGACATTGTAGCTGCTGCTTTTCGGGGGGCGATTCTGTGAGCTCACGATGGCGAGCGACTCTCCGGCCAGGAGTCTGGACGAAATCGACCTGTCCGCGCTGCGGGTGAGTACGGAGGCGCGAGAGAGAGGGGCGAGGAGCGATGGGCGCGAGGGGTGGGGGGGTGGTGGTGAGCCAAAATGGGGGGGCTGAGGATGTTCAGAGCCGTGCACCTGACTGACCAGCAGCATAAACCCCCTAATGAAAAAGATCTAGACTCCTAAAACAGAGGGTTCTTTAGTAAAACCTACTCAGAACCCTAGAACCATTTGCATGGCTCAGCGGCTCTTCGAATGGATGCAGAACGTGTGTGGTTCTGTATGGAACCTATTTGAAAATGGTCTTAAATAGCACCAAAATGGGTTCTTCTATTGTTGCAAGCTTGAAGCAGAACCCTTTTTGGTGCCATATAGAACCATAGCCTACACAACACATTCTCCGTCAGTCCGAAGAACCTTTTTACATGCATGAAAATGGTTCTGCATGGTTCTCATTCGCTGTACTAAAGAGTGAGTAGTAATACGATGGGATTCCTAGAAGAATATTGGAGTGCATATGGTCAGTTAGTGTCCAATAGGAGGACCATTCAGTCGCGTGCCGCACTGTGGACGTCTGTTATAATGTTACAGCAGGTCTTTCTTATGTAAAAGCATCCTGCATGGCTCCTGTACAGCTGCCGTTAATCAGCATGGGCTCGAGCGTAATGCTCGTGCACGGGCCTGCGATTGTCTTCCAAGGGTGTGATGCTTCCACACTGCAGTGCTGATCCTCCGGTCTCCCAGTGCATTGAACAATATGGCCAGAAACGGTGGAGTAAGACGGGATTACTATGAGTCGTGTTGGCTACAGCAGCTGCTCAGAACAATGAAATGTAGCTTGTATGTTGTAATAACGCTTGTAATAATGTTACACGGCTGCAGTGTCAGTGTAGTGCCATGTCTTTTTAAAGGAAAGTGAACTTAGCTTCTTATTCGCCAGCTTCTTGTTCGCATTTTCGAATTCACCGTTCCACCTTAAATGGTGCAGCAGCTACATTCAGGCGCTACATTCAGCCCGAGGCTCCTGAATGTAGCTGCTGCACTATTTAAGGTGGAACGGTGAATTCGAAAATTCGAACAAGAAGCTGGCGAACTAGAAGCCAGCTAATGTTTTGAGGATGAGACCGCATGTCCATTTAGTCTCCTTTCCCGTGTCATTTTTCCAAATATGTGCTCGGACACCCTCCACACCCCCCACCAGCCCATCGTGTGGCGCCTTCTTTCCGTTCATGCAACGACGCGAGTGCGAACGTGTGCCGCATTTCTCCGCCATTTCGTGTTTATGGTAACAAAAATGCAACGTGAGCCAACCTGCAGCACCTCAGGCAAGCCTGGACGTGAAGGGAGCCGTGCTGATTCAGGCTCATTGAGCGTTGAGCAGACCTGCTTTATTTAGCGGTGAGGGGGGAGGAACTGGGCCATTCAGGCACCCAGGCTGCTCACATTCATGTCCTGCACGTTTACATGACCTTCCGTAATGGTGCTGACTAATTTGGGGCTTCCTTGTTGGTTAGCCCACATCTTTTTGATGGGAAAGCAGTGATAAAGTGCCACCACAAGTGCTGTGAGAAAGGATCTGACAGAATGACATGATAGCTGGCAAAGTAGGGGTGTAGCGATGTATTGATTTTCAGGTTGGATGCAATTTTGAGATCAAATTTTGAGTTTTGATTTTTGATATTCATTAAATATGCCTTTGTGTATGTATGTATGTGTGTGTATGTATATATATATATATATATATATATATATATATATATATATATAAATATTTTATATACATATATACATATTTTATAAGCAACTAGACATATAAACATTGATGTGCCTATAGCCGAAGTCCCCTCTGCCCACTGATAGGATGCAGACATGTGCCTGGGTTTTGATCACTGACAGTGGTTTCCATGAAAGGCAGCAAAGGAGATATTAAAGCTAATTTTTATATCAACGTTGCAATTTGAGGGAGCGATTTTCAAATTACAGAAGCTGGAATTTTAATTATTGCCTCTACTATCAAGACAGTTTTCTTAAGCTTTGAAAAAACTGAGCCGGTAAGTGATTAAGGTCAAACAAAGCCAGCCAGACAACCATGTAGAGGTGGGCAATATGATGATATTTGTTGTTATCGTAATACACTTTGTTGTTGCTGTAAACTAACTGGGAGTCTGGTGTACTATGTCCTGCGTTCAAGCCACAAGCCAGAACACAATGTATATTCTGGACTTCTTGGCCAATGTATATATGCCAGTTGGTATAGTGTAGTGGGCAGCACCTCTGCCTTCTATACTGTAGACTGGGGTTCAGTCCCCGGCCTGGGCAAGCACCCTACACCATACCAATAAGAGTCCTTGGGCAAGACTCCTAACACCACCCTCGCCTACCTGTGTAGACTGATCAAATTGTAAGTCGCTCTGGATAAGAGTGTCTGCCAAATGCTGTAGATGTAAATACGAGGCCTTTAATTTATTGAAAATAATCGCAATTTAAAATACATTCGCAATATTTTGTAGAAAAATCGCAAATTGATATTTTCCCCAAAATACATGTTGCCTTTTACGTTGGGTGTAAATTTCATGATGATTGGACCAAAAGAAATGGCCCAAAGTTACTTGGACAAAAAGTCTGGTTCCATTGACTTACATTAAGAGTAAAGTATGTTTTTTCCTTCTCCTATAAAGTTACCATTTTGGAGATGCAAGGTTTTGTTCCGACAGCAGCGATAAACTGTTTCGAACATTCGTTTTTCTAGGTTTTAATCGAAATGGTTGCATCCTTAATGATTTGTTTCTTATCTTTGCTCTGTCTCAGTCTTGAAGACTGTCTTTCAGAAGGCTGTCAGCTAATCCTAGAAAAAATCAGAACAGCATTGAACGCTTGGAAAACCAATGTTATAGACTTTAATAGCAAAGACTGCAGCATTTTCATGCCTGCCTAGAAGACGTAGGTCATTTATAGTCTACCAGCGGTTAACTTTAAAATGGTCAGTGCTGAAGGTGAAGAAGAACCTTGTCATATGCTTCAATAGCGAAAATAGCAACTGTTGGTTAGACTACATCTCCTGAACAGGAAAACCATGCTCAAAAATCTGATGAAGTGGCATAATATCTACCACAATCAAAGATCTAATCAGGTTGCCTTCATGGTAATAATATTTCCTGTGACTCAGTCTAGAACACGGTCTTTAAAAGGGCATCAGCAAATCTCTGAAAAGATCACTAGTTAGCTTGTTAACAGCACTGAATGTGCAGAAAAATCTAGGTTTTAGTCTGTCTGCAGCTCATAACGGTAATTTGGGTCAAGCTTGGAATGATCCATGCCCTTCTTCTGTCGTCTCCTACTCACTCGTGTAGGAAGATGGAGGTTATTGACATTGTTGAATGACTCGAATGACCGAGATTCAGTTTTTGACAGAAACTCCATGCCTGGTTTCAGAGCAGCTGCTACGGCTGCACAATATATTGTTTTTTAATCATTATCACGATATTGGCCTTCACTGTACTGATAATATAACTCTGCAGTATGATTCACTGTAACCAATCACAGTGTTTTTTACTGTTTTACTGCTTTGAGCATCCAGTCACAGTTCCAGATGCTGTTTCTCTGGGGGTTTTGATGAATCAAGGTATCATATGATGGCCCATTGTATCAAATTACTTAGCGTGTCTTTAACACGTCACATTGTTTCACCTTTGCGTTTGTATTATACTGCAAGGTGCACTGCAGTTGCACTATTTACCAATATGATCGCAATATTAGTACTTTGTCTATATCGTGTAGCCCCAGCAGATAGTAAATATGAAACCGTACTCCATTCTCTATGCTTATCTCCGGCCTCGCTGGGTTTCAGGTGTTTGGGATGCTGTATTCTCTTCGCCACCACCACACCCATGGGCAAAACTGTCTTCCTCGTGCCTAGCCACGAGCTCCTTGCTTTCCCAGGGTCCCTTGTGCCTGAAATTAGGTCACCCAGTGCCGTGTGCATGGTCTTGCCTCGCTGGGGAAGCGTATCTGTGCTGCACGTTTCGCTTGCACGAATCCGAGCGCCGGAGCTGATACGTCTTACCCTACCTCCTGGTGCAATGGAGATGTTTTTCTTTTCTTTTTTTTGGTCCTTTTCGTGGCGATGCATCTGCTGCTTCTGCATGTAAAAAAGAAATCCCACCTCGCATGACATCATTTAGGATTTGCTTCAGAAGCAAAGGCGGAAATCCTTGCTTGTTGTGAAGCACCTCTGCATGAAGTCATCGACCTGGAGGTGGTAATAATCTTTGAAGCCAGAATCTGGCTTTTGCCAACAACAGGGGCTTTCAGACAACAATGCGGCAACAAGACCGCACCTGCTAAAAAACACTACGCTCTCTAATCATAAGGCTCAGAGCTTATCCCGAGGGGGCGGTGGCGCTGTTTCGGCAGTTCCCAGCTGGGACGTTGAAATGACATCGGTAGGCATGCTACAGTAACGCAGCTTCATGCATGAACACGCAAAGCCCAGTAGATGTGAATGCATCTCTTTAGCTTAGGCACATCACATACTTCGGGAGTCAGGAGTGCGTTCAGCGTGTTCGGAGGACGACATGGAAGAGGAAACACAAAAGGCCGGCCTGTCGTTTTGCTCCGTCAATAATTAATGCTGAATAGAGCGCTCGTCCTGAGGACACATCAAGCCGAGCGCTAGAAAGTAGAGTGTCGGCCATATTTATCTTGTTTCATTCCGGTTGGTGGCTTTGGAGTTTTGGGCCCCGGGGCGGCGTTACTCAAGCACGGAGCAGTGCCGAGTCGGCCTGGGCTTTGTGCTCAGGAGGCGAAACATTCCTGCGCTGAGTGGTACGTGGGTGGCTGTCAGAGCCAGACTACAGCCACTTAGCGTCCAGCTCCCCTCTAGACTATTACTGCCTTCACATGCTTGTCGGATGTTCCTGTTTTACCACCGGCTAAGTTGTAATTACGAAGTCTTTGTGTTCAAGTGCTTTGTTGTCGGAAACATGGAGGATTTGCTAGCAGAGCCTATTTGGTAGATGCACCGGTAAG